GCAGAAGTTTATTTCACTTATTCTATTGATATATGTGAACATGTCCCATAAGAATCCAAGTTAAATGCATTGTAGCGAGTTTCTGCTAAAAAAAACGCATTGGTGTGAACCAGGGGTAAGTGGGACTCCTGTGCTGCTATAATTACCTGCTAGAGTGCCATGCTCCAGTGATGTGACATCTGCACTCCCCCTTGTCTCTATGTCTGCAACCACGGTCTTCTTCGCTGGCCTTCATCCCAGATTTGCCAATGAACAGCTGCCGATAATGTACTCCTATGTATAGGTAACGTTCATCATCCCACCACCCAACACCATGCTCACCGCTGCCGTGTACACAAAATAGGAAGATGTTCTTCAGCAGAAGGGACTTTGCATGTCATATTTGCCAATAGAGAACCTCCAAGCAGTTTATTGCTCAGAGACTTTAGAGAATTCCACTTTAAAGCTGCAGGCTCTGGTATTGTCATTCTGATCCTGGCTTTATTATCTAGTGAGTCGCTCACCCGGAACAAGCATGCAGGATGAAGTTCAACATATGGAGACATCACTGGATGGCTGCTGATTCAGGTGAGTGTATCTCTAGGTTGTGAAGCCAGGATCAGGCTGACAGCCCTAGGTCAACCATACTTCTTTCCCTATAGGTTCTATTTAAATGTAGTGCATGCACTACTTTAAAAAAACACACATTAATTGGATTGCATGGTACTACTATACTGTACTATTTAAATGTGAAAATACGGTACCAAATAAATCTACCAAACTATCCCAATATTCACAAAGAAACTTTCACCCTTGAAAGTGATAAATAATTAAATAACAATATGAATGGGTCCCCACCTTCTGAACTTCCCACCCTATATTTAGTGGCAATCAAATTTTTCAACAATAAATCTCCAAAAAATACAAGTATACAAACAAGATGTGTGAAAATTAAAAAATAAAATAAAAATAAAATTATATAAATAAAGTCATTCCCACAAATATAATGAAATTGATATCCAGTGTCATTCAAAGTCCAAACTTTAAATAAATAAAACAATGTCCAAACTACAACTTGATATTTCTTTAAAGATGTTTGAGCCTTCCCTCTGGCTCCCAAAAGTTGGGAAATACCTCAAAAAAACAAAACTCACAATAGTGCATTAACTTAATAACAATATTCCATATCATTCTAAATTTAGTGCCAAAAATTGTGCAAACCAAAAAACAGAATAAACCAACACTGTGCAAAAATCAGTGATGTGCTCCACTCTGTGCTCAACACAACTCCAGTGATGTATCACCTCTACTATAATCGGCAGGTATACCCTTACCAGAAATCATAGGAAACAACGCCTTATGTGTCAGTAGAAGGTATCATCAGAAACGCTTCCTCTCCTCCACTCCTGAAGCTTTCCGCTTTGATTACCTTCCCCTCATGGTCCCACATGAGCCTTGTACCGATCTCATACAGATTCCTGACTATACAGCCGAAGCTCCAGGTAGCTGGCAGTGCGGAATGATATGGAATGGACTTTGAATGACACTGGATATCAATTTCATTATATTTGTGGGAATGACTTTATTTATATAATTTTATTTTTATTTTATTTTTTAATTTTCACACATCTTGTTTGTATACTTGTATTTTTTGGAGATTTATTGTTGAAAAATTTGATTGCCACTAAATATAGGGTGGGAAGTTCAGAAGGTGGGGACCCATTCATATTGTTATTTAATCATACTGTACTATTGTATTTATTTATTACAGGTGCTTACCGTCAATTTATGCAGCACTTTACATATATACAGTCAGGTCCATAAATATTGGGACATCGACAATTCTAACATTTTTGGCTCTATACACCACCACAATGGATTTGAAATGAAACGAACAAGATGTGCTTTAACTGCAGACTGTCAGCTTTAATTTGAGGGTATTTACATCCAAATCAGGTGAACAGTGTAGGAATTACAACAGTTTGCATATGTGCCTCCCACTTTTTAAGGGACCAAAAGTAATGGGACAATTGGCTTCTCAGCTGTTCCATGGCCAGGTGTGTGTTATTCCCTCATTATCCCAATTACAATGAGCAGATAAAAGGTCCAGAGTTCATTTCAAGTGTGCTATTTGCATTTGGAATCTGTTTCTGTCAACTCTCAAAATGAGATCCAAAGAGCTGTCACTATCAGTGAAGCAAGCCATCATTAGGCTGAAAAAACAAAACAAACCCATCACAGAGATAGCAAAAACATTAGGCATGGCCAAAACAAATGTTTGGAACATTCTTAAAAAGAAGGAACGCACCGGGGAGCTCAGCAACACCAAAAGACCCGGAAGACCACGGAAAAACAACTGTGGTGGATGACTGAAGAATTCTTTCCCTGGTGAAGAAAACACCCTTCACAACAGTTGGCCAGATCAAGAACACTCTCCAGGAGGTAGGTGTATGTGTGTCAAAGTCAACAATCAAGAGAAGACTACACCATAGTGAATACAGAGGGTTCACCACAAGCTGTAAACCATTGGTGAGCCTAAAAAACAGGAAGGCCAGATTAGAGTTTGCCAAACGACATCTAAAAAAGCCTTCACAGTTCTGGAACAACATCCTATGGACAGATGAGACCAAGATCAACTTGTACCAGAGTGATGGGAAGAGAAGAGTATGGAGAAGGAAAGGAACTGCTCATGATCCTAAGCATACCACCTCATCAGTGAAGCATGGTGGTGGTAGTGTCATGGCGTGGGCATGTATGGCTTCCAATGGAACTGGTTCTCTTGTATTTATTGATGATGTGACTGCTGACAAAAGCAGCAGGATGAATTCTGAAGTGTTTCAGACAATATTATCTGCTCATATTCAGCCAAATGCTTCAGAACTCATTGGACGCCGCTTCACAGTGCAGATGGACAATGACCCATGTCTATGTGTTCCAGACTTCAGGCTGTAATTGACTGCAAAGGATTTGCAACTAAGTATTAAAAAGTGAAAGTTTGATTTATGATTATTATTCTGTCCCATTACTTTTGGTCCCTTAACAAGTGGGAGGCACATATGCAAACTGTTGTAATTCCTACACCGTTCACCTGATTTGGATGTAAATGCCCTCAAATTAAAGCTGACAGTCTGCAGTTAAAGCACATCTTGTTTGTTTCATTTCAAATCCATTGTGGTGGTGTATAGAGCCAAAAATGTTAGAATTGTGTTGATGTCCCAATATTTATGGACCTGACTGTATATTGTACATTCACATCAGTCCCTAACCCTCAAGGGGTGTACAATCTAAGGTCCCAAACTTACATTCATTCATATACATACTAGGGCCAATTTAGACAGGAGCCAATTAACCTACCAGCATGTATTTGGACTGTGGAAGGAAACCGGAGTACCCGAAGGAAACCCAAGCAGGCACAGAGAGAACATTCAAACTCTAGACAGGTGGTGCCGTGGTTGGGATTCAAACCAATAACCCTAGTACTGCCAGGCGGAAGTGCTAACCACTTAGCCACTGTGCTGCCCTGTACCGTGCAATCCAATGCAGGCAAATGTACTGTGTTCACGACCTGCATTTGGGGTGTCATTGATTTAATATTGACACCAGCTGTAGATTGCAACTGCAGTGCACTTTGAATGCGGTGCATAGAACGTGGTAGTAATGCAAAATACTGCAGACCACAAAAAAATGACCAAAAAACCCAGCATAGCCAGTATAACAAAAGTATATAGTTCTGCTAGTAGTAGGTGGTCCACTTTTTTGGTGGGAAGCAAAAGGAGATCTCTGAATTACTATAATCCATAACATATCTGACTCAAGCACCACCAATGGAAGCACATTAGGCCCTGGTTCACAGTAATGCAGTGCTGCACATTGCATGTGATTCACACAGGAACCGCACCGCAATCCTGTGCAAATTACATGCGATGTCTGTGCGCTGCGACAGTGCTCTATATCAGTGTATATAACAGTGTCTATGTTAATTTAACATTGACACCAGTACCAGATCGCATGGATGCCGTGCGATTGTAATGCAGTGCGGGAAACACACAGGATTCACTGCGTTTCCCACACTGCATTAGTGTGAACCAGGGCTCAAGGTGTGTGATATAATTTATTTCTGTATGAATTATCAAGAGGCAAAAAAGTGGCCATACTTTACTTTTTTAATCTATTTATTGTATATTTCAAGTTTTAAAATATAACTAAAGCCAAAACTTGTTTTAGTTTTAAATAGACTCGATAGGAATTAGAACCCCTGATAGGTTTTTATTGGTGCCTGTCCCCACAGCCGCTCTATTTGTCTTGTTTACCTTTATCGTTGAGAGTAAAAGTAAAAGAAAATTCCAAATTTTCGCGCTGTCAACCAAACAGGAATAGAGGGGAAATAACTAGTTCCTGGGACTGGAAGCAAAAGGAAATCTCCCCATTGGGACAAATGTGGAAAAAAAGACGGGTTAGTAACCTTCCCTGAAAATATGTTTTGCCTTTAGTTCTAATTTAACTAGGAGATGATGTAATCATTGTGTGTATACAATGACCTTGTAATGAATTTCATTGTGGACGTAAAGCATTCTGTAGACACAGCTTTGTCAGCCTTTGCCTTTATACAGTGCAATCATTAAAGTGTCATCATTTTTTTTAGCTCATTGTAGAATGGTTAAGGTTTAGAGACCTCTTTTCTTTGCTCCGTGATGCCTCATTAAAACTTTTTCTCAGTAGTGTAAGGAAAAGCTAGAATCTCACTTAGCTTTATAGTGATGTCAGTGTCCCCAGTAAAGATTACTGCTCACTTCCTGTCCTGGTGACAAAGTTGCCACTGGGTTAAGAAGTGTGGAAAAGTTACCATAATAGGGGCACAAAACAAAAAAAAAAAAACAACGAACGGGGGCTATACCAGTTTCTCACTCCATCCACATATTTGCTTATTGCACTTAAGCAATTCTCCATTTGTTTAGTTGATTGTGGAATTTCTGCTCCACTAATATCTCTATTTTTTTTTTATAGCATATACACCATATAAGATGACTTTGGTGCTGCTTAAAAACATTTCCATATATTTAGCCAGCAAAATAACCCATTCCAATGGCTTACTCTGTGAATTACACAAGATAAAACCATTTTTTGGACTGAAATCACGTTCATTAAATCTCATCCCATTCTCTACCCAAGCCTCCAACAACAAGGATTCGTTTAGCTACATCATCATTGGAGCTGGTTCAGCAGGTTGTGTATTGGCCAACAGACTGTCTGAGAATCCTGACAATGCTGTCCTGGTTTTAGAAGCTGGACCCAAAGATCTGCTCTTTGGCTGTAAAAGGTTGTCATGGAAGATACACATGCCAGCTGCATTAATGTATAACCTATGTGATGATAAATTCAATTGGTTTTATCACACTGAACCCCAGAAACATATGGACAACAGGGTGATGTACTGTCCTAGAGGTAGAGTGTGGGGTGGCTCTTCCTCACTGAATGCCATGGTCTATATTCGAGGGCATGCAGAGGACTATAATCGGTGGAGTGCCCAAGGAGCAACTGGTTGGGATTATGCTCATTGTTTGCCATACTTTAAGAAGGCCCAGACCCATGAATTTGGACCTGATGACTACAGAGGAGGCAATGGACCACTGCATGTCTCAAGAGGAAAGACCAACCATCGTCTTCACAACACATTTATTGAAGCAGCCAAGCAAGCAGGGTACCCATTTACTGAGGATATGAATGGCTATCAACAAGAAGGAGTTGGCTGGATGGACATGACTATATACAAAGGTAAGAAATTAAACCACAATTTATAATAAGATTGAACAATTGTAAACGCCTATTCCCCATATAATGCCTCAGCCTAATGAGAACCTTATTGTTGAGGTCAGAGATGGAGTACAGCCAGTGCCTATCTGCACCCTGCAATGACCCGTCCTAATGTTTCTGTAAAGGAGAAGACGATAGTCACTAAAGTACTTTTTCAAGGACTGCGAGCCACTGGCGTGGAGTATGTCCAGAATGGACGAAAAAAAAAGGTAACCGTTTTTTTGTACATCACCACTTTGACCCTGATTCAGAGTAGTTCTGCAGTGACAAAAGTATGCTGAGTTTGCAACTTTTATTATTAGAACACTGAGACTGACTAGGTAGTTGTAGTGAAGTTAGAGCCTTTCTAGTTTTGGAAACAGCTCCAAAAGCTCCATAACAGTTGTAGAGCACCCCCAAAAGGGTCATTGGTTGTAATAAGTCCTTTCCCCAAAATAAGTGCACACACAGCCAGACACACAGCATTTTTCTCACATTTCCACTGGCTCGAAGGAACAGTCTAGAGGGTCTTTTTAGGGTTTTTTTTTTATTGGAACAATGTACTTGGATTGGGTGAAGGGAGCATGGAACACCCCAAAACTGAAACTTTGAGGACTCCTTCTCTATCTTGCTGAACTACACAATGAATGTCCCACAGAAACACTAATGCTGACAGGTCACCAGGACTTTTCCAAAAAGTCCAAAGCTGCCCACAGTCACTAACTTTTAGCATCGTGGTCATTTACTCACATAGCTGCAGGATCATGGGTTACCTCCATTCGATATCCATGGCACATTCTCCAGTAAGGGATATATGAACTCCCCCCATCATCCACCAACTTCCTTCTAGTACTCTCTAGTGAGCTTCTCCACACCCAAATGAACTCCAGTACTAAGCTTTTCAAAAAAGCCCTCAGCTGGGACCTCAATGTCTTCTAAATTACACCTCCAGTAATCCTACCCCAGTGGCAGAGCTCCTGCTCAGTGGTCTCCTCCAGATAAACTGGAGTCAGGAACTTTTCATTCCCTGTCTCAGGCCCCAGACTACAGGCTTTCCCACCACCTACTGAGCACACCTCCCCTGAGATTGACTGGAGTCCCATAAATATTCAGGCTACTTACTTTGTTCTTCTTCCCACTATAAATCTAGACTCCTCTAGAATATAGAGGGAAGCAATCAGATCAACAGCCTGTAAGACAATGAGAATGCCTAAAAAAATCAACCCCCACTCCACTGATTACAAAGGAGGTAACTAAATTTGATTATCAATCTGCACTACTTTAGAAGAGTACTACACAGATAAGGATCTATGATTACATTCGTCAAAATCCTTGCAATGATAATACTTCACCCAGAAGAGATTTCATTTTTACAAATCAACAATTTGACTTAAGTAAGATGGATGTTCTGCTTTAGAAGTGTTTTTTGTATTCTAAGATGTAAAACTGTCATTTACCAGGCATTTGCAAGCAAAGAAGTAATACTGAGTGGTGGAGCCATAAACTCTCCCCAACTTCTCATGTTATCTGGAATTGGAAATGCATCGGAGCTCACCAAATTAGGAATCCCAGTTATCGCTCACCTTCCAGGTATTACATGGTAGAATTGTGTGTGTGTAAGTCTCTTATTGTGGTACTTTTGGTTCAGCACACATGATTTCTGGTGAAAGTAGTCCTTAGCTTAGAGTGTGTGTCCACTGGATAGTATTTGTCAGGAATGGACTTGCCAATGGTGGTGGGACTCACCTGCCTTCTGGGCTGCAGTACCTAGGCTAGCCAGCGGGTGCTCTCAGCAACCAGAAGCTCACTCCTGCAATCGGCCATCACCTGAGGCTGATTGCAGGAGGTGTATTTAAGGAATGGCCAGACCTGCAGCCAGTGCCTTGTTGTACTGTTTCGCTTGGCCCCGGTATCCTGATCCTGCTTGCTTCTATCCTGATTCTGCACGAACTCTGCCTGTTCTGACCTCTCTCCCGCCTGCTCCTGGTACCTTGTTTGCCCGTTTGCTACCGACCCGGCCTGCCGACTACGTTCAGTCTTGTATGTATGGTTGTTTGGTTTGTTGCACTGTGTTATGTTTTGCACTGCGTTTATGTATTGTTAGTCTTTAATAAACTGTATTGTTTATACTATACCGGAAGCCTGCGTTTCCCTGTGTCAGTCCACACATTTCTGATCATACCCAGATTCCTGACATTACAACAAGGCCATTCCTGACCAGAAGTGGCTGCACAGGGAAGCCATCTTGGCTTGTTGCTGGGAAGGATGCATCCTGATGAGGTTGTGTATTTATCTCTGCTAGTCTTTGATGACAGAGATTATGCCTATCAGACTCTGCAGGAGTATACCAGGGATCAGCTGCTAGAATGCATACAGATCGCTTATTTCCTAGTAGATCAGGGCACGGAGTTCTCTGAGATGCAACCATTGATTCAGGTTTGTGCAGAGTTAGCTTCATCTGGTACCCCTGAAAGCAGGGATGACTTTTTGCCGCCATTTAGTACAGATCAAGTAGAGTCACTGGTGTGGTTATTGGAGGATGATGTGGATGGCTTCTTGGAGCATTATTCTGCATGTTCACAACAGGTGCTAATGGATTGTATAAACGCAGTGCAGTCTTTGGTCAGACAGGCTATGTGCAAGCTGAGCTTTGTTCGACCGATACTACAGTCCTGGTCAGACTTGTTACACCCAGCCTCAGGCAGGTTGCAACAAACCAGTCCTGCTTCTCATCATTCCTCTGCTCAAAGTTCTCCTCCTGCATTCCCGACAGCACCCCCAATGACAGCCCAGTATACCCTGCTATCTACCAAATGTCAGTCCCCTGCTCCCACTCGCTGCACCTATCCTGCCTTTAACCCTGTAAAGAAGTCCTCTGTAGCAACTTCTCCCTCCTTTGTTCCATCCCCCAGCTCTTCTCAGCCTTCAGCTGCTCTATCCGTTTACAGACCTGCGTTTACTTACAGTGCTCCAGTAATTAAAAACCATGAAAAGGCGAAAATTCTTTCCAACCAGTACCATCCTGCCAGTATCCAAACCAGTCAGCCTGCCGTCTGAGAACCCGCCTTCTGTTGTTCAGCCTGGTGCCCCGGCGCCTGCAATTCAGCCTGATGCCCTGATGACCCAGTGTACGCTTCCCGGCCTAATGTTGCTTCCCGGCCTAATGTTGCTTCCCGGCCTAATGTTGCTTCCCGGCCTAATGTTGCTTCCCGGTCTGATGTTGCTTCCCGGCCTGATGTTCCTACCCAGCCTGATGACCCGGTGTTCATGATCCAGCCTGATGATCCTACCCAGCATGATGATCCTATCGAGCTTGGTGACTCGGTGCCTGCCGTCGTGCCAGATGACTCGGTGCCCGCCGTCGTGCCAGATGACTCGGTGCCCGCCGCCTCGCCTGATGGCCCAGTGCCCGCTGCCCAGCCTGATGTGCCTCCGTCCGCTGCCCAGCCTGATGTGCCAGCCCCTGATATCCAGCCAGTTACCTGACCCGGGCGGTGGAACATTTTGCCCACTAAGGACTGCTTGGAGTGTCCTGAGGCCGCTCCTTGAGAGGGGGGTACTGTCAGGAATGGACTAGCCAATGGTGGTGGGACTCACCTGCCTTGTGGGCTGCAGTACCCTGGCTAGCCAGCGGGTGCTCTCAGCAACCAGAAGCTCAACTCCTGCAATCAGCCATCACCTGAGGCTGATTTCAGGAGGTGTTTTTAAGGAATGGCCAGACCTGCAGTCAGTGCCTTGTTGTACTGTTTCGCGGTCCTCACAGTAGTTCCCCATAGGTGGGCTGTCCCATGGAACCTGTTCTGACCTACCCTAAAGGGTGGTTCTGTTTCTAAAGCTACAAGTTTACATGACAATATTCTAGGGGTAGCTTTTTCCCATCACCCTCTGTTCCAGGTTCTTCCAGCACCAGATTATAAGGGAGTAAATTAGCCAAAGGGCACAACCCCTCTTACAAGTGTTTCTCAAATCAGTGGTGTGCATCTGAATTTTGCCAAAATGTTAGTATTAATCTTCAGGTCTCCAAACAACAGTTTGCGTGATTGTGCAGCCAAATGACAACTATCCACCTCTTTTCTCCATTGTGCTGTAACTGTGAGCACTTACTTAGCAAGGAAATTCAACCCCAGAACTGTTGCAGAACTCAGATGTTTCAAAGAGCTCTTTTGAAGTATGCGCCAACATGTACATTTTCATAACAGCTCAAGTTTTCTTAAGTGTCCCTCATTATAGTTCTGTCCTCCACCCCATGTCTTCTCCAGCTTATATTATTGTTTTACTGTAGGTGTGGGAAAGAATCTTCAGGATCACCTGGAAGTTTACATTCAGCAGATGTGCATCAAACCTATCACTTTATACAGAGCACAAAAACCTCTCCAGATGTTGAAGATTGGCCTAGAGTGGATGTGGAAATTCACAGGTAGACATATCTCCTAACAGTCCTGGATTCAGCAAGAACTTCCTGAATTTTCACCTTTGTCACGTAGTCCCGTGTACAGGGGCTTTGTCCCGCATCACCCTATTCATTCATTATACACTAACTTCCATGCACCTGCCATATCTCTGTCCATATTTCCCCACTATGTTTATATCTGTCTACCTACTTGCCCTATTCCATCTCCACCAGTCTGCCCATCTTACTTTGTCCTCATCTCTCTCTCTACATTCTTCCCTTGATTGTATTTCCATCTGTCCATCAATCAATCAATCAATCAATCAATCAATCAATCAATCACATACTGTACCTATTTCACCCTGGTATCTGACCAATTCTTGTTCACACATTCCAACCCCTTTCACATCTCTTTCACTCACCAGCCTCATCTTGCATCTGCCACTGTCCCCACAAACCCCTGCCTTGTTTATGGGTGCGCTTCTACTTTTGGTGAGCCTTTCACAGTGTGCTCCCATCTACATTCATTTTATTTGTCATCTTTAATCATGATCCCTCTCACATCCTCACCTGATAGACCCTTTCTATTTCCTCCATTTACACTCATTTACTCCATACACCATTATTCTTCCCTTGATTTACCTTGCATTTTATCATTTCATATAAGGGATGTTTCATGTGCCAGAGTCCTGACATTTATGCAGCTATGCCACACAGCCCAGCTTTGTCTAGCAGGAAAAGGGACCTGACAGGTCTACTTCCCATCCATACTGTGTGCTTGAAAGGTCAAAGAAAAGCACCAATACTGTTGAGTTCCTCCTATCAGCATGCTCCTTGCACTGCAGCACACTCGAATGGCTCCCAGTGTTGCTTCTCCCTCTTCATTTCTGAGCCCAGCTGTACAGACTGTACAGTATACTGTAATAGGTCAATGCTGAATACATTTCAAGTACTGACACTACTTGCATTAAAAAAATACATTTAATTATGTGTTGATTACAGAGCCCAATTAACCACTTCCCATCTGTCCATTGCCTCTAAACAGCAGATGGGAAGCAGTGCCAATGTGGGCTAACATACCTGTACATCTGCCCGCATCAGCGGCTCCTGTTCAGCTCACAGAGAGTGCATCCAGGAGCCCAGCGATCCATGTGTCACCCGGACACAGGGGATCACATTACTGCTGTGTCTGGGTGATCACAAGGTGCTTTATCATGTGATTTCTGTGTCCAGTCACAGCAATCGCATAGTAAACATTGAAAAGTGAAAGCGAGCATTGGTTCTCACTGTGAGATGCTGCAGCCTATGAGTATACAGCATGTACACTCAGACTGCAGTGCCAGCCAGCCCTAGTGTCCCTGATCACTGCCCCAGTGAAATGTAAATAAAAAAAATACAGCCACCCCTGACACCTGTCCCAGTGTTCACAATAACACCACCATACCCCATACAAGCGGGTTGATCACCACCATACCAGCGCAATGATCACCACCATATGCCATGTAAACCACCTGATCTCCACCATACACTATACCAGTGCCCTGATCACTGCCATACACTATACCAGTGCCCTGATCACTGCCATACACTATACCAGTGCCCTGATCACTGCCATACACTATACCAGTGCCCTGATCACTGCCATACACCATACCTGTGCCCTGATCACTGCTATACCCCATACTAGCATCCTGATCACCGCTATGCTCCATATCAATGTTCTGATCACCACGTATGCCACACCAGCGACCTAGTTACCACCATACTCCAGACCAGCATCCTGATCAACGCTATACCAGTGTCCTGATCACTGCCATAAACCATACCGGCGTCCTGATTCACCACCGTATGCCATACCAGCGTACTGATCACCGCCACACCCCATACCAGCATCCTGATCACTGCCATACCAGCCAATTAAATAAGTGGTGACGCGCTCTTATATTAGACTGTAGTAAATATAATATTTAAATAAAAAACATATTTTTTAAAAGGAAAACATATTTACATTGATCTAATAAAATAACAAAAAAAAAATACCATACCAGCGTCCTGATCACTACCTTACCCCATAACACTGTCCTGATCACTGCCATACCCCATACCAGCGTCCTGATCACCGCCTTACCCCGTAACACTGTCCTGGTCACTGCCATACCCCATACCAGCATCCTGATCACCACCATAACCCATGCCAACACCCCGATCACCGCCATATGCCATACCAGTGTACTGATCACCACCATACCAGCATCCTGATCACTGCCATACCACCAGTGTCCTGATCACCGCCTTACCCCAAAACACTGTCCTGATCACTGCTGTACCCCATACAAGCGTGCAGCATTTTAGGGTCTCAAATGATCAATTTTCAGATATACATTCCATAATTTGTAGGCTCTATACCTTTCACACAGACTAAATAATATACACCATTTTAGGCTATTTTTTTATACCAAAAATGTAGCGTAATATATTTTGTCCTAAATTTATGATTATTTATTTGCTAAATTTTATAACTAAAATTTATCAAAAACATTTTTTTTTCAAAATTTTCTGTATTTTTTCATTTATATGGTAAAAAAATAAACCCAGTGGTGAGTACATACAACTAGAAGAAAGCTCTATCTGTCCCAAAAAAATGATAAAAATGTAATATGGGTACAGTGTTGTATGATTGAGCAATTTTCATTCAAAGTGTGACAGTGCTGAAAGCTGAAAATTGGCCTGTGCAGGAAGGGGGTGAAAGTGTCTGGACTTGAAGTGGTTAATTTAAATTAAATCTGCCTGGATTTCAGCTTTAATAATTCCCTGTTAGGGTAATCCTGTGCAAGCCATTCAAACATGAATATAACAGTTAAATGGACGAAGAGACACCACTACTTGATAAGTGATATCTTTGTTATGCCCTTGTCTGAAATTAACTGAAATATCAGTTTTGGGAGGGCTAACCACCAACCCACTGACCTGGGTGACCGTGCCTCTTAGTTTATTTAGCAGTGGGTGAGAAGCAGAGCTGTCAGTTAGCAGGAGCCAAGTGTTGGGTTCAGATGTTTTTGTGTTTCTTTCTTAATAAAGGACAGGTCAAAAACTGTCTCTGGGTTTTTATTTACTTTAGTAATTTTTTGGGTAAATGAGTAGGGGTACTATGTACCCCATACTCATTTATATAGGGAGGGGGATCAAGATCTGAGGGCCCTCTTGTCAAAGGGGGCTTCCAGATTCCGATAGGCTGGGCCAGGGTTGTGGGGAAGAGTTCCTTGTCCACTTCACCATGGAGACAAGATGCTTTGGGGGGGGAGTCCAGACACACAAACTTACTAGTCCATGGAGTCCAGCATTGTCCTCCCGTGCTCAAAATTCTTCTTATTCACATGCACTGCCATCTTGAAACGATACCATGTGTATACACAGACATGCTGTGGGTCTCTGTCAGGCCTATGGGACTTGACAGAAACCCACGGCATGTCTGTGAATGAATGACAGAACTGGTATAGATATGCTGCTTTCTGTGCATGTGCTGGAGGTTTGCAGGATTTTGCACATGCTCAGGTCCTATATACCCACAGTGTGCCTGGACTTCTGGGAGATATGAACAGATATCACACTGGACACTAGAACCAGGAACGTAATTACACAACTACTTTGCTGGATGATTCTGTGTATTATTGGTTGTTACCAGCTGCACCAATTGTAATTTGCTGTCTATATCAGTCTGTGTATCCTTGACTGACTGTAGGGGACACTAGGCTGGGGTTTACTTAACAGGTTTTTGTTTTTACATGCTCCTTGAGCCTTGATGTACCGGTTGTTGTGGGTTTTTTTTGTATCTTTATTGAGCCAACAACACTGGCTTTTCTACACAGAAATCCCAAGCAGTGTTGTCAACCCTGCCTGCGTTCTGCCCTGCCGGACTACAGAATCCCTCCCCCCCTTTCCTCACCTCTATAATATATGGGGGAGGTGTTCTGACAAGATCAACAGATATTTTCTGTACTTATAACATTTTAATAGAGACATAGCTCTCCAGAGAAATACTAATAGTTTGCCCAGACATACATTTTAACCTTACCTTAAAATGACACTAAATCTTTGTGGGTTTTTTTTTTTGCTTTTTTTTTTTAAATAACAAACATGTCTATACTTACCTGCTCTGTGCAGTGATTTTGCACAGAGCAGGCCCGATCCTCTTCTTTTCGGGTCCCTGCCGGCACTCCTGGCTCCTTCCTTTTGAGCCGATGTTAAATCCAAAACCAAAAATGTAATATACTGCAGCTTAACAATCATTAGATGTGGTGGCTGCATTAGTTTCCTTTTTAGCTGTTTTTTTCCTTTATTTTCACCTGGTGATCTGGCCAGTAACACACCTCCTGTATTAGAGTACCCCCACTCTGGATAAAGGCACACAAGGCACCTTTGGACAGCAGCATTGTTAATCTGCTGGGGAGGGTTACAGTAAATGCACTTGCAGATTTAGATACACTAACAAATTGAAGGCAAACTCCAGCTAACACTTTATAAGCAAACAGTTTATTTCCTTTTGATGAACGTTTACATGAATACATAAGATATGACCATTGTAAGCACCCCTGTCAGTGGTAAATGTCTCATCCCTCTAACTTCAACAGCCTAAAAAAGCTAGTGCAGCCATCACATCTAAGAACTGGTAAACTGCAAAATAATGTTTGATTTTGTGTTTAATACTGCTTTACGATCATTTTAGCTACCATGTGGTTGCATGAACAAAAGTTTAAATGGTTATGTAGAAAGCAGAAATCCCTGAAGGGGGTATCAAGGAGCAGTGATATGTGCTGTTGTCTGGCCTCCCACAGACTTTCTATTAGATTGTGTGTTGCATTTCCTGAAATTGCACAAAAGATGCAGCGCAGAGGACTTATGGTGTGCTTTGAGAAAACGCACCAAAAACACACAATCTGACAGAGAGTCTATAGGAAACTGCGAGTACACCTGCGCTGAGGCCAAACCACATCACAGCAGTGTGAAACAAGCCTTAGGTTAGCCATACACTATACAATTTTCTTGCAATTTTCTGCCCAATTTCCTTTAGATTTACCTTCAACTACAGTATGTAGTGCAAAGGCTTGCCCAATTGAAAGTGTTGTTCATGTTTAACCTCATATTTATATGTTTTTTGCTAAATCTAAAGCAAAATTCTCAAGAAAATTGTATAATATATGGCCAGCCTTGGTCTATAACCAGGTCTAATATTCTCATCTTTTTTTAAAGTAAATACAAATGTTGAAAATAAAAGGATACATTTGTTTTAAAAGTAAAAAATGTGGCAGATTGATTTCTGGATGCACAAGGTTCACAAAATAAATTATTATTGCTTCTCAAGATAACACATTGAAAAAAGATGGAAAAATCCATTTTTTGTTTTTTTGTTCATTGGCCATCAGGAGATGGAGCAACAGCACATTTGGAAACTGGTGGATTCATTCGAAGTGCTCCTGGTGTGGAACATCCTGACATCCAGTTCCACTTCCTCCCATCTCAGGTCATCGACCACGGGCGTGTGAGCCCAAAAATAGAGGCCTACCAGGTGAGGAGATTACAAAATCTTTCAGTAGTCTAATAAATGTTTGTTATGATCATGTGTCACATTGCCAAAGCTCTCAGTTATTCAGGTTTTGGCTGTCTCTTTATAAACTATATAACTAAGACCCAATCACAAATCTTTTCATGGATAAATTCACTAAAGGAGATCACATGTGATATTTGGGTCATATATCCAAATATCACATGTGATATTGAAAAGCTCAATTCACTAAAAGTTTGTGGTATTTACCAGAAAAAAAAGAAAAGTTTGGTAAATACTGCATAAACCTAGTTAAACGTCAACTGACTAAAAAAAAAAATATAATATAAACAAAAGCATTTGTTAAATAAGTTGTGGTTTAGCCATGCGCTATTTAACCAATTCAGAACCACCCACAGTACTTTTACTGTGGCAGGGCGTTCCTGATGTGCTGGATCACGTACACCAACCCACCAGACGTTGGATGACGGTTAGTGCTGGCCACCAACCCACCGACCTGAGTGACCATGCTTCTTAGTTTATTTAGTGGCGGGTGAGAAGCAGAGCTGTCAGTTAACGGGAGCCAAGTGTTGGGTGCAGACTGTTTTTTTGTTTTTTTCTTAATACAGGACAGGTCAAAAACTGTCTCTGGGTTTTCATTTACTTTAGTCATTTATTTGCTGAATGAGTAGGGATACTATGTACCCCATACTGATTTATATAGGGGGGGTTCAAGATCGGGGGGCCCTCTTGTTAAAGGGGGCTTACAGATTCCGATAAGCTGGGCCAGGGTTGTGGAGAAGAGGCCCTTGTCCACCTCACCATAGGGACAAGGTGCTTTTGGGGGGGGGAGGAGTCCAAACACACAAACTTACTAGTCCATGGTGTTCAGCATTGTCCTCCCTTGTACAAAATTCTTATTATTCACATGGACTGCCATCTTGAAATGATACCATGTGTACACACAGACATGCTGTGGGTCTCTGCCAGGCCTATGGGACTTGACAGAAACCCACGGCATGTCTGTGAATGCATGACAGAACTGGTATAGATATGCTGCTTTCTGTGCATGTGCTGGAGGTTTTCAGGATTTTGCACATGCTCAGGTCCTATAGATACATGGTTTGCCTGGACTTCTGGGAGATATGAACAGATATCACACTGGATACGTCATCCTCGCGTAAATGCGGAGTGAGGAAGTGAAAAGTAAAATAATGAAAAAGGAAGGCTATGATTAATGGTAGCCTCTCATTGGATAAGCTGACTTTGGAGCAGGGGCGGACTGACAACTCATGGGGCCCCCCAGCAATAGGGGATCATGGGGTCCCTGTGTCCTTGCCCAAACTCAAAAAAGCCTATGAAAAAGGTACCAGGGGCATTTCATGGGGCCCCCTACTGACCCCGGGCCCTCGGGCAGTGCCCGAGTTTCCAAATGGTCAGTCCGCCCCTGCTTTGGAGTTTAGGAAGAAACCCCAAACCTTAGTGAAAATGTGGCATTGTTGGCTAGAAAGTCCTCTTACTACTCTGTAGAGCCAGGAATGTAATTACACAACTACTTTGCTAGATGACTCCTGTGTATTATTGGTTGTTACCAGCTGCACCAACTGTAGTTTGCTGTCTATATCAGTCTGTGTATCCTTGACTAACTGTAAGGGACACTAGGCTGGGGTTTACTTAATGGGTTTTTGTTTTTACATACTCCTTGAGCCTTGATGTACTGGTTGTGTTTTTTTTTTATATCTTGTATTGGCTCTATTGAGCCGACAACACTGGCTTTTCTACACAGAAATCCCAAGCAGTGTTGTCAACCCTGCCTGAATTCTGTCGTGTTGGACCACAGAATCCCTCCCTCTTTCCTCACCTCTATAATTTATGGGGAAAGTATTCTGACAAGATCAACAGATATTTTCTGAACTTGTAACATTTTAATAGAGACATAATTCTCTAGAGAAACACTAATAGTTTGCCCAGACATACATTTTAACCTTACCTTAAAATGACACTAAAGCTTTTGTTTTGTTTTTTTTGTTTGTTTTTTTTAAATAACAAACATGTCTATATATATTACTTGCTCTGTTCAGTGATTTTGCACAGAGCAGCCCTGATCCTCTTCTTTTTGGGTCCCTGCAGGCTCTCCTGGCTCAATCCCTTTGAGCAGTTCCCCCAGGGAAAGCTGCTTGCCCTGGGGGCACCACTGCATGCTCGTCCCTGAGCCGCTGCTCAATGCGTCTATAAGACTCTAAAGCTGCGGCTCACCACCCCCCTGCTCTCTCCTCATTGGCTCACTGGCTGTGATTGACATTGCCCATTGGCTCCTGCTGCTGTCTCAGCCAATGGAGAGAAAGAATCCCCAGACAGCAGAGGCTGTCAAGAATGCCGCTGGATCAGAGGGGTTTCAGGTAAGGATTGTGGCGCATGCTGCATACAGAAGGATATTTAACCTTCATGCATAGAATACATGAAGATAAAAAACCATAAGCCTTTAGAACCACTTTAAACTAGAGCCTAACAATTGATCCTCTAAAACCTAACCCAGGACCTTTAACTCAAATCCAAAAACTTAACCCTTTGCCTTGCTGGCCAGTGCTGAAACCAGTTTTCACAGCTTGGAGTGAAAGCAAATGTGAAAAACTATAAAAGAATGTGAAAAAAAACTTGCAGCCAGTCCCTAACGGAATATGAGGTCAATGCTATGACACCAGGTTATTATTTAATCCTTTTAATCTGAATCTTCATGGTGTTTTGTCTTCTGTTATGCTCTATGGCATTTTCAGATCACAGCATTAATCTTTGATTAAAGAGGATCATAGTGCAGAAATAGGTTACTAGTGGCAAGAAGAATTCAGGAGAAATTGGTGGTGGTTCTTGGGATGGTTGTGCTCAGGGTAGTGCTTGGGGTTGTGGTGCTGGTGGTGGTAGTTACTCAAAAATCTTAGGCAGAAAAGACAAGGATTCTCTCTGTAACAATAGATGTGGTACTGAAAGGAAATATGAGCTGATATTGAAGCTAACCATAGGCTGATTATTATACAGATTCACCAAATATGTGACTATTCTTAAGTGTGATCAAAATGAGTGAAATTCAGGAACATCAGAGTAAAGAATTTCAAGGCAATTGGTTGTTCTAATCTTTTGTTTGGAATAGGGGCATGTAGGCAGGTGCACTTGATTTTCTCCTCTGCAGGTGGTTCTCAACTGCAGTGACATTGCACAGGGAGAGGAAGTTTGAGGAATTACTCCCTCTATGGTTTTCCAGGTCACTGGGAAAGTGATCCGGTTGGATGCTGGCAGCCATCTTGGGTCAGGCAGAGACTAGTTAAAGTGGAACTTCACTCTCTCAATTAACATTGACTATTTTTAATCCTTATGCTGCTAGCCATAGTAAATAGATAGGAACGTATGACATTTTTACATGTTTAAAACTTTTTTCTTTTACGTTTCTTCAGTTACTTCCTGGTTTCTTGCCTAGGCAAATGGTGTCATACATCCCAGGAGTCTTCTGGAATGGAAGGGAGGAGGGATTTTCTAAGCTAAGGACAGATGGATTGCAGGAAGTCAATGCTACATGAATCATCTGCCCTTACTCAAGATGTCCATGGCCAGAAATGCTAGGAGGGTGTTTTTCAAAGTGATTTCTGAAGCAAAATAAAGCATGGAGACATGAATGGATGGGGGGTTTGCTTTACATATTAAAAATGAATTAAATATAATTTTGTCTTTGTTGTTCTCAGATGCAGTGTAGCTCCACTTTTAAGACTCTGGCTCCTGGGCTTGGTGCACATTTTTACAAGTGGGTAGTATATGGACAGGTCATGTGTCTTTCAGGAAGAGTGTATAGTGGTAGGGAAAGGTTCCAGATGAATAGGGACAGAATAGAGACATGGCAACTCTCCAGGAATCCTCTCTCTTGGGTGCAGACTGGCCAGGCAGCATTCCACCCCCCGGAGACAGACGCTGTTAGCAGGGTCAAGACCTGCTCTGTTCTACTTTGCCAAGACATACTGTGAGTGCTCCCAGTTGGGTACCTTCCCACCGGGCTGTTTGTAAACTGGCTTTGCCGATAATACAAGTTCTGTTCCCACAACTTGACTCTTTTGCTTGTGTCAGAACTGCTTTTCCCTCCATAATAGTCGAATATAAAAACAGCTTCCAGCAGCTCAGAGGGAAGACAGAGGCAGCACAGAAAGCAGAAGCATTCAGATGTATCTTCAAATGCAAGCTGAATGCACTTGAGAAGTGTACTACTGCATTGTCCATCTATACAAGACAGCTTCATACCCACATGGAAGAAAAATATATTTGAAATATATATTTAAAATATTCTTCCCAAATATATTGACATATATTTGAAATGCTACTTTTTTTTGCCATATTCAATATATTTCAAAATCTCTCTCTCTCTCTCTACTACATTTCAAATATACTGTATGTCTTTAAAAATACAAATCTACATTTTTGGAATGCATTTACAAATATTTGTAAAAATATATGTTAAAATTACTTTTTTATATGTTACAAAAAAATCTGAGGAATATATTTGAAAAATATATATTTTAAAAAATATTTTTTTTTTAAAATACATTCTTCAGACTTTTTTGTAACTTATAAAAAAGTCATTTTAACATATATTTTTACATATATTTGTAAATGCATTCCAAAAATGTAGATTTGTATTTTTAAAGACATACAGTATATTTGAAATGTATTTTTAAAATATTTTGTAATAATGTATTTCAACATACAATATATATATATTTATTGAAATATATTGAATATGGCCAAAATTGTAGCATTTCAAATATATGTCAATATATTTGGGAAGACTATTTTTAAAATATATGTCAAATATATTTTTCTTCCATGTGGGTAATTATGCACACATAAAGGGCCCCCAATGAGCACCCACAAGGTAAAGGATGCGCCTGACCCCTACACACTCCACAGTGCATACAAGTGAAAACACATATGTGGTTTTGCAGGAAAAAAAAAGTTTTTAGGTACTTTTTGCTGGTGTGTGGACAGTT